TGGGGACTAAGTAAATATATTGTAGGGGCGATGGAACTAGTTTTACTTGTAGAATGAGAAAAACTTGATGACGGTCCTCTTGATTGTTACAGATCTATAAATCGGTTAAACTAGTTTTATGGTGATCTAATTGATATTATAAGCTAATACAATGTACTTTAAGATGAAAAAATAAAACTAGTCATTAATTAATCTTTTACTATCAACACTACAAAAAAAAACATTCAATGTTTGGTAATAATGACAGATTTTGAAACACTGCATAGTAACGGAACATCTACATTATTTAAACTAAAACAAATGAAAGCTTTTTTAATCTACTACTTGATTAAAAGAAGAAAAACGTTCTGACAATTTATATTATATAAGTTGTGAAGAGCGGAGGAAGTTGATGCTTAAAACAAGATGATCTTTAAAATGGACTTGGAAACATAGTGATGTTCATGTATTTTTCATGCAAATATTTAAAAATATATTAATCAAACATTGACTAATTGTTTAAAAATAAATTAAATAAATCGGTTTCGGTTATATAATACTAATAATGTATACAATACAATAACATACTTTTTTCAAGAACGATATAATATTGTTGTTTTATGATGTATAGTTTTAACTTGAGTGTGGATAAATAAGTCCAATTTTTTTTTATTGGAATAGCTAAGGTAAACATTACAAATAACAAGTGCTTAAAATTTCAAATTTTATTCAAATTAACTGAGTTCTGTAGGGAATTTTGAAAAAAAAAATTAAATGGAAAGGTTGATTTTTTCGTTATTGTTAATTCAAATTTCTTTATAAATTAATTTTCCTATAATTAATTGAACTAGCTTAGTTACTACAAAAGCCTAATAATTATCCATGAGTTTATGTCCAGAGGTATGCTCCTGTCTCCTAAGACTTAGGTAGTAATCAGGTCGATTTTCCTTTTTAGTTACTTTTACATTCCAATTTACAGTTTACTTTTTTAATAAACTCGGCGGCGGTAGACCAACTAAAACTATATAATACATTAAAAATTTCTTATAGGAACAAGAGCTGACTCAATTGGGGAATAAATATATAATACATTTATTAAGTTAAGCCAAATTAAGTTGAGATATGTCAACTTACTCCATGCCTAGGTTAAGATAACAATTTTGACTTTTTTTGGATACTACAGGAAATTATATTTTTTAATATGCATTTTATATAAATTTAATAAAATTCCTAAATACAAGAACTGTTAGAATGTAGAAATATATATACACATTTTTTCTTATTAAAATTTTGACAAAGTTTCAAAACTTCTGCATTTTAAACCAAAAGCAAATTACAGCTTTTAAAATGTATTTTTCTAAAGATTAAAAAAGGAAAATGTCGTGACAACTTTTATTTTTTCAACATAGAGGGCCAAATTCAAAATTAATCATATTTCCGTTAAAAGTTTTCAATTATTTTTTAATAATTGCATTGAAACGTTTTATACTATTGATATTAATCACTGTCCAATCTTATTTTATACTAGGGTATTTATGCTGCGATTATACTTGTCTTTTTTTTTTTCAATAAATTTCATTGTGTACGAATTAAAACAAGTACGACCAATAAGTAACTTTGAAAAAATGTTCAAAAACAAACTATGAAGAAATGTAGAAGTAAATTTTAATTTTAACTCGTTATTTAATTTTTTATTAAAATATTCCAATGAATTATAGCTTCTCTTTGAAGCTGAAAATGTATTGATTTTACCGTTATGTTTGTTATTTATTTTTTGTTTGTCCACATAACTCTCAGTTATCGCTAGATCAACTTAGTTGATCTATGCGTCAAAAAAATCCAAATTTTAATCTAGTTCATTCGTCTTCAAAAATTGAAAAAAATCCTTAATTAAAAATATCTTCAAATTAGGACTCTTTCAAAATGGTAATTTTAGTCATTTTTCTACATTTAGAACTGCTTTAATGTTCTTAAAAATTTAACAGTCTTTTTGTTACATACACAATATGTTTTTTAATTTTAACTTTTGAAACAGTGACGTCGGACAAGTTTTCATCTATTATGTGTCAAAGCATTTCATATGCATTTAAGCACAATTAAGTAGTATAAATTTATGAATTAAAAAGAAAAACTTTCCGATTGGTATACTTTGTAAAATCGGCTACCAAATTAAAAAAAAAATTTGTTTGAAAATAGAGAAATAAATTTATACAAATTTTACGCATCATAGTTTTCTATGTTTTCCTTATGAGTTAATTAATTTTTTACTAATGTTTGTTGAGTTTAATAAAATAAATAGATTATACTCGTCACACCAACTATTAAACACTATTGCATGCTTACCCGATGATCTCTTTTTAAATTATCATTGTTTTTAAATGTATTAAGAATTTATCCTTTATCATTTCTTGTGTTTCTTTTCATCCTTATTTATTTTCACACTGACCATTATTGTAATTTTATTTACTAATCTAAAGACTACTAAATCAGCAATATTTTAAACGCGTGATTCTAAAATGTTCTTTGAAACAGTTCTAAAGAAATTAGTTAAATGATAAACACACATAAATTTTATCATCGAAGTTATCAATTTTTTTTAAGAATTGTAATTGTCTATGTTTACGCAAGTCAATAAGTTAATTTGGTTAACGTAAAAACATTAACACTAGTTGATTACAAATCTATTGATTTTTTATTCTGACTTAAACATGTAAAAAATATACAATGAAGTCTCTTTTGTGTTAGTTTTACCTTTAGAAGTCGACTAATTGATTGTAAATTTATAATTCATAACATGATTTATTTATTTTATAGTAATACAAGTAAATGATTTAAATACTAAGTAAATACGTATATCATAAATTGAAAAAATTATGCATTATTTTTTTCTTTACTAAAACGTTCACTAGTTGAGCAAAATTATTGTACAGTTTATCATCTATATCCATAATTTTTTCAAAAATTTTTAGTGTTTACCTAACAGTTTAATGGTGATTAAAAAATTACCTGTGACAACATTTTTTTTATTTTTGTTTGAAAATAATGTATGTATCTGTTAATTTTGTACATTTTTTTTCTTATATGTTTTAATAATATTTATTTTTATTATTGCATTTGGCTATTTTCATACTGAGAGACATAATAAATTTTTTTGTTCCAACGTATTCTCAAAAAATTTCATCCTCTTCGAAATTTAGCATTTAATATTTATAATTTGTTTTCAAATTTATTGTCTTTTTAAGAACTTTGAAATAAAATGAAATATTTCTAGAAATTCTAGATTTGTAACAATTTTAGAAAATCTTTAATAAGTAGTAACACCTTTAAAGGTCAAGTCAAATAAAAAAAATTGTTTGTTATGTTTTTTATTTATATGTATTGCTTATGAAAGTAATAAGTATTTTATTCATTAGAATTATAAAATACTAAAAAAATGTTTGAGTTAAGAATCTTTTACAACGAGTCAGACCGACTTTTGGCGTAACGACGCACCGCCACTAAGGATTGGTGATTCTTTCCATTCAGTTTGGTGATCTCCCTCTTTCTTGATGCACTTGTCCCAACTCGTTGATATATAGCCTATGAATGGGTGCCCAATAAAAATAAAGTGAGGGGATATGCCCCAGAAAAATATGTTATCTCTTTTTTTTTATTGCGTTGAACTCATATACAACCTATAGCGTATGTATGGGTGCAGATTAGAGAGATAGGGGTAAACAGAAAATAAGAAAATAAGCCATCCATCAAAACAATTTTTTTTTGCCATATGCATTATAAGCAAAGGAGCCAATTAGGTGGATAAAGGGGGATATGCTCCCATTGAAATTATATGATTCCCCCTCTCTCTCTCACCGCACTTAACTCGTATACCTATAACTTATGCACTGTCGTTCACTTCGGAACACGTCTGTCTTTTATTTAAAAGTAATAATTGTAACAATAAAATATGAGCGACTGTAATAATTTAGAACATAATCTTAGTCTTGCAAAGAAAGTAAAATCACACAATGTCGCACAATTAAACACTGGCACCGATTCCTAAATACATGTATTGCAATGCTGGGTGGTATATAGAGTGAAACGATTATCCTAAAATGATGAAAAATGTTAATCATGTAATACATATAAAATTTCACATCGGTGACACTGTAATTAAGTGATTAAAATCAAGAATAGGTTAATTATATTTTTATTATTAAGGTTGTGCATTTGTGTGTGGACGATGACGCACTCATGTATAGTGTGCTAGAGTAAGTGTGTATTATGTGTCATAAAAATTTTTTCATAAAAATATGAATTTTGCGGATTTTTAGAAATACCTTTAAAAATTATGAGACTGTTTATATTTTTAGGGGTTTAACCTATTGCATAAACGAAGATTGGTAATACCGATTTTATATTAAAAATTCAGAAAAAATATACTTAACTTCTAATTAAAATTCAAATATAATTAATAAATTTTATAATTATAGAAAATGCTTAAAAAATAATTAAGAAAAAAATGCAATAACACACTTCGTCTATAGAATTTAAATCTGAGACCCCACGTTAACCGTACGTTTTACCAAACCGGCAATAGTCTGCTGTGTCTGTCTATAGATAAAATGTACTAGTTTACATTTTAGAAGTAATTTTTCTCCACTCTGTGGAAGGGTATTGCAAAATACTTACAAATAAAGGTGATATTCAATGTAGATTAAATTCATATAATTTAATGATAATCGTCGAGAAATAACTGGTTAAAAGAATTGAAAACATCAATTTTTTTGAATAATTATTTTCCTTTAATTAACTATCCTCTCATGCATATTTATATGCAAAATAGTTTCAATGTTTCACATATGTCAGGTGTCCTGCGACAGTTCACATTATTTTTCTGACTTTTTTTTTAAGTCCATCCCTTATAAGGGCGCAAACTTAATATTTTTTAAGTGCAATATACATATTAAAATATCTTATATAGTGGAAAAATTAAAAAAAAAAAATCATTGTTAAAAATTAATTTTTTTGTTTGATTATAGGTATAACCAATAACACTACTCTGATCATGAAAGCTAGATGATGTGACATGGGAGGAGGTAAACTAAGTAGCGCACATAACTGGCGGCCACCTAGGCCCCCATGGCTAACTATTTTAATTACATTTCTTATCTGCGTACTGTCCATTCAATGTGTTCCAAATCAAACAGTAGCTTGTGGTTCTGGAATAAATACAATTGGAGGTAAAGTTTTATTATTTACCGCATAAACCTAGTAATTTTGTTAAAATTAAATTAATTTTTATACATCATAGGAACTTTTCCAAAAGGTGACATTGTTTTAGAGTATGATAGTGGAAATCCTTTAGATATAACTTGTGTTTTGGACCCTGAACACAAAACTATTAAAAAACTGTTAAAAAACAAAATAGATGACTTAAACGATCTTGGGCAGAATCTCATTTTTCATAGGAACTCTGAACGAATACCTAAAGAATATGTTACAGTTATTAATTCAACAGCAGCTCGTTTGATTATACCTAAACCTCCTGCTGGCATTTTTACTTATTATTGTAAACTATTATTAGATGAAAGACGACGAGAAATACTAAGCAATAACTACAATGATGAAAACGGTGCTCAAATGTCATCTGGAAAATCAATTGAATCACCTTTACTGTCAACGGTACAGCCAACTAGTTTAGAAACCAGTGGTCCACCGCCACTGATAGGCCAAGATTTTGAGATAGGTGTATGTCTCAATACTGTTTCCGTTGGTTGTAAGTGATTCGTGTCATGTTTTATGAAAACATAGTTCTAAGTGACAAAAATAAACAATGTACATTTTTTTAGATAAACCACTTAAAATCACTAATTATACTTGCATATCATCTAATTGGGAAAGTTTGACATGTAATTGGACAAAACCAGATAATCCTGTGAAAACTACGTATAAGATATATTTTAGATTACCTGGGCGTGCAGGTGGCAGGTAATAATTTGAATTATTTTACTCTAAATTGAAATTTACTTTTAAAAATATTTAATTTAAGTATATTGAAGCTTACTGGCTTATAGTAATCATAGGCGCAGTTTCAAATTTTTTATATAAAGAAATATTTCATAAATATCAAAAGTAATTAATTAACTTATAATTTTAACTTGAATTTATGACGTACTGTAACAAATGTTACAACAATTGTTTTATGTAAATAATGTGTATTTAGATACTAAAACCCTACCTATCACTCATTTGATTTTGCAGTGGATTATAATTCTTTTAACATATAAAAAAATATCTTTCTTTAATGTAATTCTTATTGTTTAATATTTATGTCTATTAAAAATTATGCTTATATTCTTAAATTCTAGTCCATCCTCGTTCGACCTTAAGAAACCACACGAAAATAAACTTGAAACAAAAATTAATTTTAAATTTAATTAATATTATTTTGCTTATCAAAGTCTCCACTATATTAATAGAAATAAAAATGAAATGAAATGCTTTATGGCTTTGAGATTCCCACTCCGCTATTGCACTTTATATGAAAATACGTATAGTTACACTATTGTTAATTTTCATATTATATAATATCTTATTTTAGAATTGTTATCAATTGTCCTACACATTCTGATATGGATTCAAACACTTGTTATTGGGATGAAAGAACTAATCCTATTTATAGAAGGTTATACGAGTACTACTATTTTACCTTGATAGGTGAAAATGTGCTTGGTAATAGTACTACTGCTTTTCGTTTTCATCATTATGCTCATGGTAATGTTGATCATTTGTGTTAAACTTGATCATTATTTTCATAAATTAAAAAAAAAAATTTTTAGTTATTCCGACGAGTCCAACAAATGTTACTGTTGTGGATAAAACACAATCAAGTGCTATGCTTCGATGGTTTATTGGCTCAATGGCTACATTTCCTCGTGACTTAGTTCATAAAATTGAATATAAGTCTCAGTGGGATTCTAGTAATGATTCTTGGCATGTTAGTACATTATAATTAATTTTATTTTAGATTTTATTATTAATCAATTTTTTTGTTTTTTTTTAGTCCATAAATGTGAGTGATTTGTGTAATACATCAACAAATTCTAATTCAAATTGTCATAAACGTGATGCAGGATATTATTATTTCAATGTTACTGACTTGATGTATCCATTTGCTCTCTATGATTTTCGTATATACTTGAGGTCATCTTTAGCTAGAGGTGAAGACAAATGGTCTATTCCTGGTTATGTTACTATGAAAACAAAACCTTCAAGTGAGTAAATTTATTTATATTTTAATTTTATAAGTTATTAACATCTTTTGATTTAATTAAAATTAGTTCCAAAACGACCTCCTCTAACTGACGTTGGAAGTTTTGAAAGTGTTCCGTCGCCAATTCATAAATCCTCAAGAGATATTTTTATCTATTGGCAACACATTGATGATAGTGAAAAAAATGGTGATTTATTTGAATACCGTGCTTTTTATACAACTGAAATGTCCAATAACCAAACTTTGTAATATGTTTAGTTTGTTTATTTGTTTGAACTTTTTAATAATCAATTTTTATTTTATTTAGTCATCAAAGTAATGTAACTCATAAAAATTATGCTCTTTTTCAAGGATTGAGTAACAATATTGGTTACAATTTTGTTGTGTATTCAGCCAATAAAGAAGGTTTATCATCTGTATATTCAGCTATTTATGTTCCTAGTGAAGCAGAAAGTATGTCAATTTTGAAAATTTAATTTTTTTACGAGACAATTCAATATTATGAAATTAATAATCAAATCTTGCATATTTAACTTTTTTAGTATTATATTAATTGATTTTTTTCATTATATAAATATTTTATTTATCTCAATATTGAAATAATTACCAGAATTTTTTTCAAGATTTCAATAATAAATTTTACAACTTAAACAATACCTTTATTTGAAAAATTAAAGTTAACACCCTGAGGTATAAGGTATTAACATAAAAATTCTATATGATTGATAAATTACATATTATTATTCTATATTATTGATATTAATTACACATTATTCTTAAATTATTAGCTATGTAATACTTTTTAAGTTCATCTGTTATGCATTATAAGGGTGTCAGTTATGACCATCAATAGAAATGCTTCCTGTATTGCCAGTTGGTGTATTTATAAACTCAGAACAATGTTCCTTACTACCATTGATAATAAATTCTGTGTATCTTCGAATATCGACGTCATAAAAAACCAATTAGCTACTTATATTTGTAATCCCTTGTATATTATACATGTATATTAACTCAAAATTTTGAAANATATTTGTAATCCCTTGTATATTATACATGTATATTAACTCAAAATTTTGAAACTTTAAATGTTTATATCTAATAAACAAATAAAGTTATATTTAAGATTCAAATGCCATTTACTATTAAATTAAAAATTCAAACATTTTATTAAATTTAAAATATGTGTTCCCATTTAAAAAAAACAAAGTTGACACCCTTACACGGCATAAGGGGTGAATTTAAAAATTATTACATAGTTAAAAATTGAAGAATAATGTGTAACTAAAGATAATAAAAAAAAAAACTGTTTAAATTATTTTTATTCTGTAAGTAATTGACTGGGTTATGATAACAAAATCACTCTGTATAATATCAATAGGCATCGTAATTGATGCTTATTTTTTTTACAATATTTTTACTTGTATTTTTTTTTTTAACCAGAAATTGAAGAACCTTTATCATTTACAAAAATGGCATTTGAAAATGGCACTTTTGAGCTATCATGGAAACACAATCTTGGTCAAAAATCAACATCTGATAATCAAATTACAGATTATACCATATTTTGGTGTGAAAATGATAAAGACCGACCTTACCAGTGTAACGTAAGTATTTAAAATAAATTAAAAACAAACAGATATAATAAAATTTTATTTAGGGATTTATGAATTGGAAGCATGTACCTAGAACAGAAACCATACATAATGTAACAGTGCAAGATCATTCTAAAATTTACCAATTTGCTATAAGTGCTAATCGCCAAAGTAATCTTCAAAATAGCTTAAACCATTTACAACACTCTTATCTAAGTAGTAGTAGTAGTAGTAGTAGTGGAATGATATGGGCATCTTGTACAGTGTTACATAACAATAGTAAGATACTATCAAACTTTATACATTTTGCTAAACTCAAATTCTAAATTTTTTTTATAAAATATAAACATATTTTTTCATTTAAATAATTATAGTTGTTGGAAAAGTAAAAGTTGTATGGGTTAATATGATTGGTTCATCATTTATGGAATTAAGATGGAAACTTGATTGTTCTGACAGAGTAGGGGCAGTTCTAGGATTCCACATATTTTACTGTCCTATTATTTCAATAAGTAATTCTGCTTGCAAAGGTTAGTATTATGTGATTAGTAAAATTATTTTATTACAAATAGTTCTTTTTTTTTTATTTAGAACCTATGTTAAACAAAACAGTTCATGGAGAAACAGCTCAAGGGGGACGAGGTAATATTACACAATTAAAACCCTATACTACTTACATGGTAACTATTGCATTAATCACTAAACAAGGAGAAGGTTTGCACAGTGAACCACAATTCAATACTACTTTAGAAGGAGGTACGATGTATAGTAGTATATGAAACTTGAGATTTTTGATGAAAATAAACGTTTTTTTGTTTTAGCACCTGATGTCTCTGATATGGAAATATACCCAATACATGTTACAAATACATCTATAAGTTTACAGTGGACCCAACCAAAGTCCATGAATGGTATTTTACGAAACTATCAAGTTCATTTTTATCGAAAAAATAAAGAATATCATGATCAACTGTTAATTGATCCTATAGAAGAATCACAACGATATGTTACTGTTTCTGATGTCAAGGTAAACATTTTTATTATTTTTTAACATCAAAAAGCTTAAAATAATATCTATACAAGGTGATTCTTTTGATGCTAACCACTCAATTTTTCTTAAAATAAATATATTTTGTGAATTTTTTTGCTTTTGCTAGTTACATATGTAATTTCAATTAACTAGCTTCTAAAATAGGAAATGACTCTCAAAGTGTTTATTAAAAACTAATATTTAAATGGTCTATTTTTTGTTTCAATTAATTTAGTTGATTAACTTTAAAGAATTAATCATTAAAACATTTTATAATAGTAATTACATAAAGACAAAAATGCAACTGTCTGATGATAAATGATTGTATATGTGTAACAATGATAATGATACAGTGTAGCCTTTACTACAGATTTTGTTAGTTACATTATATTGTGCTTTTTAACTTAACTAGAGAAATTACGTCCCTCTTACTCATTGAGATTATCCTTTGTACATCTTTTGAGCATTAAAAATTTTGATAACAACTTTTTGAACAATCATTTCAAAAATTATTAATATTTTTATACCCAGGCGGGAAGAGTAAGGCTTAGAGTTATCTAGTGATAAAAATAGCAACACTTGTACATCACCTCTAGTCAATACTTAAATTTGATAATAACTTCTAGAATACTGTACCAATAGTTGTTGTGAACCAGTCATTTTTATAATTACATAATTTTCCATTTTATGAGCTAGTTTAATATGTTTGTTGTATTAAAAAGAAAAGTTGAAACCCCTATAAAACATAAGGGATGAACATAAAAAAATTTTATAACAGATAAATGAAATATATATGTCACTAACAAAAGCCAAAAAGAAAAATTCTTATTTTAAAAAAATTTAGTGGCTAACGTTAAAAATATATACTTAATTAATCACTTTGTATACAGAGTGATCAATTTTGGGATAGACACTCATTTTCTCAATTGCTATTAAAAATTGTAAATTTTTAAAGAAAAAAGTTATTTGATTAAAAAATATAAATATTGATGTTATTACTAAAAAAGCATTAAACGCCAGTGTTTAGATTAAATTTCAACTGGGTATTTATTATCGCCCTTTATATTTTCTTAATAACAATTTTTTTTCAGTGTCGGCTTGATAATTTGGATAGCTACACTCTTTATAAAATTGCTATTACAGCTTGTACAACTATTTGTTCTGAACGATCCAATTCTATTTCAGTTCAGACAGCAGTTGGAGGTAATTAGTTAACAAACAAACAAAAATGTTATCTACTAATAAATTTTTATTATTTTAGTTCCTGGGCGAATTGATCAACCTGCTCCATACAGAGAAAATCGTACTAGTGTAGTTGTATCTTGGTCAAGACCAGAAAAACCTGCTGGGCCAGTTGATTACTATCAATTAAATGTATTTTATCATAGTGATTCAAATTTACATAGTAATGATGGCTCTTCCACTTCTGCTTTACTTTCTGCTCAAAATCAAGAAAACTCGAATAATTTCCTTTATGAAAGTAAAAGTATGTCTATTGTACATTTATCTATTATTTATTTAATAATATATAATTTAACTTTTTCTTATTAAGCAAATGAATGTCGAATACCCGTTCCTGATTGCAATGATATTGAAAATAAGGGTCAGCAGACATTTTCATTCTCTGTAAGAGCAGTCAATAATAATCCTCTAAATTCAAGCAAACCATACTATGGTCAATGGTCCATACCAGGATCTGTTAGTTGTTCTTTACCAGGTAACTTAAGCTGTTCATATCATATGTTTTTACTTTATTGTCATGTATAAGTTTTATTTTAAATTAAGTAATAATTTTTAATTTTGTATAACACAATCAAGTTTTCAATTTTCTTAATGTTGATACAATGATTATTTATGATGTTTTTCAATTTTTTTATAATGTATTTTCTATGTTTAGGACTTCCACTTGCTCTTCATTTAGTTATATGGTCAAGTTTGTTCATTGTGCTCACAACTGTATCAACATATTGGGGTCATAGGTAAATAGTTATTATTATATATAGACAACCATACAAATTTATCAATCAATTAGATACAAAACGTATCTAATTGAAGGCTATTAGCACCATAATTTTGAAAAAATTACCTCAATCTTCATAAAGGAAAAAGTAACAAAAAAATACAATTGTCATAAAACAATATTGATATTTTTAGTGTTGACTTTTTATTGATAATACTTTAAACATTTACCTTACTGATGACATACTTTTTTTGAAAATCCAATTATTAACCTAAGTACTGAGTGGCTTAAAAATCGTTTCAATTTTTGATAATGTTCCAAAAACATGTCATTTAACACCTATATAAAATTAATAAAAGCTAATACTATGTCTTTTTAAAAAGATAAACTATCTAGAAACTTAATATCTATGAATTATTGAACATGTTTTTAAATTCATACAATTTTCGGTAAAAATTGTCTATTTTGAAGTGTATTAATACTAAATCAAATTATAGCATGTTCAAATATATTATATGATTAAAAAAAAAAAATACATGCTAACGACTTGTCTTTTTTGAGTAATCAGCCTCTAAAATTCATAATCATTTAATTTTTGATAGATATGTTAAATTTGTTTCAAGTATGCATTGAAGTAAGAGTGATTTTATTACTGTCAAATATCTATCAATACTAATCTTAAAAATACCTCAACTCCACTTAACTAAATTCCTACTATATTTTACTTTTTTAATTTTTCCTTATTAAAAATATATAATTAATAATATGCTTTTAACATAGTCCAAAACTGCAACCATAAAAAAAAACAGTAGCACAGTGGGGTAGAGGAACAGTGTGGACGAATCATAGATGGAACAAGTATAGATGATATCTGACAGTGATTAAAATCACTATCATAAGAAACACTTTGATGCAAATCTATAGATAGTGTTTAATTCTAAGAAATTAGTCGATGATTACAAAAGCTACATTATCTCCTATTTCCTTATTTATATTCTGATTAGTAGTACTTTGATTTTAAAATATAATATATGAATAAATATATACTAATTATAGTTTTTAAATTTAGTATGAAATTGATATTTAATAATTTAATTGTAATTTATATAGATAAATTATAAAAATAATAAAGTAGTTGTATATTTCTTTACTTTTAACGTGTATAAAAATTTATTAAAGGGATTGATGCAATACTTTTTAACAAAAAATGTTTGTTACTTATCAATAAATACACTGAACAAGGAAGCAAAAATATACTTTTTTAAATCAACTTTTTGCGCTGTTTCCAAATCTGCAATTAGACTTTTTTTAGTACTTCTAATTTTTTATTTTATTACTAATTACATATAAAATAAAAATAATAAAAAAAAATTTTTTTAATTATTACTGATTTTGATTGATTTTTAATATGTTAAAAATAATCAGTCCAAAAATTTCATTTTTAACCTATTTTTTGGTCCTTTAAAGTAGATGAAAAATATTTGATAAAGTTTTGTGAAAGTTTATAGTAAAAAAAATTTGAATATGTTGCCATAACTTTTAGTTCAATTGCAAGTTTGAAATTGACATCATTTAATAGAGAATTAAAAAAATAGTATTTCTGAGATTAAAATGCAGACAGGAAATTTTATAATTACTATTTATAGTATATATATTTATCAAAAAAGTTCATTATTTTTTTGCATTTTTATCGTAATAGAATACTTAAATAGAAATATTTATAATTATTTCCAAGTAACTTTTGGTGTTTAAAAAAATTCTACAATTGAAATATGAACTGAATTAATATTAATGATTTACTTTAACTAAAATAACTAATCAAAAACAGTTGTTAAAAAGATCAAAAAATCCATTGTTAATTCAGGAGAAACTAACATTAATTTTTTTTTATATTTTTTTTATATTTTATTTATACAGCAATATGTTACCAAAAAATTTGGAATATTATAGCTTAGTAGTAGCACACACAAATAGAGAAAAAAAATTATTAAATTACTAAGTATAATGATTTAATTTAATTGAAACCTATCATATTGAACTTGATTCGTCAATAAATACTTTGAAAACATTATAAATGAAAGATTTTAACTGTCTGTATGGAGAACATGGGATAAGTAACTGTTTAATTGATAAATTAGAATTTTGTTTCAATTTTTGAGTGTAATATCTTCAACTAGATATGAATTGTAATCATTTGACGTATCGTTGAAAAAAATAGTTCAAGTTAGAGCAGAAAATATAAATGATAGTCACAAAAAAATAACTTCTCAACTTTGTATCGAAGCTAAAACCTAAAATATAGTAAAATAATTTTAATATGAATATTTTAATATTTCTTGTTGAAATTTGATAAAAATCAAATGTATTAAAAATTTATTCTAACTTAATAGAATTAAGAAAAAATACAATAAAATCCTTGCAATACGCGGGTTAGCCTTGTACCCCAAACGCTTAAGTCACAAATGTTACCACCAAGTCAGTAATCGTACGTCGCTTCCATTGACAAAAAAAAATGGCAATTTAAGCTAGTTCGAATTTCAAAGTTATTTTTCTCTACTTAAAAAAATCAAAAAAATTTAAATAAGTTTAACTTTCTATACTATATCAATTTTATTTATATAATATTTATCAAAATCACTGTACTCCCCTTGTCAGGTATTTTTAAATAAAATAACATACAAAAACCCAGAATTTTAACATAAAAATAGCATATTTTTAAATACGATAGTCATTTTTACCATGAAGACAGGTCCAGAGGTCAAATTTTTTTTTTTCAAAATAAAGTATATTACAAAAGCTTTAATTTAAGGTATATAAAAGTGTTAGTCTTTTCGGAACATTTTCAAAAGTTAAGTTGAAAAAGTTACCATTTTGAAACCCTTCCTAGGGGCTGGTAAAGGGTCAAATGTTCACAAAAATATATAAAATAATAGGTAAATATCTAAGGTATCTAAAAAAAAAAAAAAATTATATTGATTCGGTCATTTTTAAATAAGTTATGGCAATTTTACGTAAAAAAAATTATAAAAATGTTGAAAATTAAGAATTTGTAATTTTTTGGGGGATTTCCCCCGTTTACGTGAAACGAGGAAATTTTTTTCAATTTTTGAGGGTAATGTCTTCGACTAGATACGATTTTGATCTTTTGGCGTATTGTTCATCAAAATCTGTCCAGCGAGAACTGAGATGGAGCGTTCAAAGACATAAAAAAAAACCCTAGCACAGGGGTTGCAGCATAGTCGTGACGTAGCATAGTTGGGTCAAGTATAATGATATCTGACAGTAATTTAAATCACTATTATAAAAAACGCTTCGATGAAAATCTTTAGATAGTATTTAATTTAAAAAATTGGTGGTTTATCCCAAAAGCTACATAATCTGCTATTTCCCTATTTATATCCTGATTAAGATAGAGTATGTCGAATCAAAGAGGGATATAAATATTATTTCTCATTAAAAAATTGTATTGATTCATACACATTTCAATAAGTTATAGCATTATTAAGTTAAATATGTAAAATACAAAATCGAAAATTTTCACACAGAAATAGCATTTGGTAGCCATTTTCACCACAAAGACAACTCCAGAGGTCAAATTTTTTTTTTCCATAATAAAGTATATTACATTCGCTTTAATTTAAGATATATATAAAAAAGGGTCAGGCTTTCCGGAACACTTTCAAAAGTTTTAAATCTTCCTCTGTGGGCAGGTAAAGGGTCAGATTTATAAAAAAAATATTATATTGATTTGTTCATTTTTGAAAAAGTAATGGCAGTTTTAAGTAAAAAAAATTTCGAAAATTAGCGATTTTTAAATTTGTAATTTTTTTGGACATTTCCCCCATTTATGGGGAACGAGGGAAATTTTTTCAATTTTTGAGGGTAATGTCTTCGACTAGATACAATTTGTGATGTTTTGTCGTATTGTTGAATTAATCTGTTCGGTGAGAGCTGAAAAAAAGTGGTAGCAGACACAATAAAAATCACATCATAGTAAAACCAATACTTTCTCAGCTTACTTTCGCATCGAAGCTAAAAAGTAACGACAAATATTTGCTGTATCAAAAGTCTTTAAAGAAATCAGAACATGGTGGAAAACTATATTTTATTCATCTTATATATGGTAGATTTCTATAAAAAATATTTATTTTGCAAAAATTAAAATTCGGCATACATAGGTAAATTAATTTTAGTTTCTATCTGTATATTTGAGTTCTCAATTTTAATAAAAACTATTACTTAAGTGGTCTAGATTTTGTTGTAATTAATTTAGTGAATTAACTTAGTAGAATTAATAACATATTTATTTTACTATTAAATGTATATGATAATTGAAACATTTAATAAAGGTAATTACAACTAGACAACTATGCACTGCCAATTAATATATGATTGTATATGTGTAACAATGATAATGATACAGTGTAGCCTCTACTACAGATTTTGTCAGCTACATTATATTTTGCTTTTTAACAACTCTGTATATATATATATATATATTTTTTTTTTTTTGTTGCTGTATTTTAATATAAGTAATAATATAAAATAATATATATATATATATATTTATATAGAAATATAAGTATAAAAGTTAACTTAAATTTTTTTAACAGATTTTGGAACAAGTATAAAGTAATGCATAATGTTCAAGTAGTCTTACCACCTACACTTAATACAAACTATAAATTTGTAAGTTCAATATATTAAAAAAGAATATTTTAAAAATATTTGACATTTATTCTTTTTTTTTTTTAGGATCATTATGATTGTGATAAAACCATTATAGATTCATCTCAACACTATTATGTTGAGGATGACCATATAATATATGATGATACATTGCCTTCATCAGCTGTAGTATACAATGCAACTTCAAACATTTCATCAGGCTCTTGTATTATCAATAGCAGTCAAAGTGAGACAATTAGTAGTTGTAGTGGTGAACAAAATACTCAACGATGGAGTCCAGCAACAGCAACAACAGTAGATGTTATGGATAATGATTCCATATCCAGTAACCATCATGTTAGTATTAATATATTTTTATTTTTTTTTATATTTATTCAAAAAAATAACTTAATGATTGTCATCAGATAATATTCTCATTGATAGTTTAAAATAATATATATTTGAATGGTATGAATTTATCGTAGAATGAAAAAAAAAAAATGATGCCTGAAAAAGAATCTAAAAAAAGCAGCAATGATGAGAATGAAGAACCTAAACCTTCTGTTAATAGATATGAATGTAATGATGGCGAACAAACCATAGTTACTATTTCAAACTGTCAACCTGTAACTACTACAACAGCATATGTCATGTTAGACATGGTAACATCTGCAATTGCTAAAACTGGTGCAACTAGATTTTAATATAAAACCATTTTTGTTGACAAATCAAAATTTTTATACAATGTATAGTAGTACATTTAATTAAATGTTTATTGAACATTAAATGTTACATCTTAATGATAAATTTGTATACCCTAAGGGTAAATATTTTCATAAGTAATCAAGGGGCCTAATTAAACTTAAATTTTGTGAAAAAAAAGCTCAACATTTCATTATATTTGTTCTTGACTTTTTTTTTTTTTTAACAATAATGATTGTTAATTTATACAACTTGGTGCAAATGAATTGTCCATTAAAATAATTGCACTAGAGACAAATTTAATTTGTAACACATCCGAATTTTTTTCATTAAGTGTTCTACCTCGTTTTCTCTTGTTAGTATTTTGTCACCAATTGATGCACTTATAACTATAGCTGTAACATGCATAAATTCCACGTAGTGATATAATTTTTAAATTATCTATTTACATTTTGTAGCAAGATACAAATGCAAAAAACTCGCCTAGTTTTTTGTTATTTAAGCTAACTAACTAGTGCTCAATATTTATGCTCAGTCTTCAGTGATAGTATAATTGCATCAAATGAATTTAATAAATATGGTATTTTATTTTGTTTTGTTTATGTAATTTGATATTTTATAAAAATCGATTACGATGTCGGCTTATATGGTCCAAAATTGTACAAGACAAAAAGTGAGAGAAATGTTACAGTGTTGTTTAGTAATTCATTGATATATATGTTTTTCATAAAAAAATTATATAAAACAAATTAGTGTGTTAAAATACATAATATACATTTATATATAAATATATGAGTGTGTGTGACTTGTGTGTTTTTGAGTGTTGGACAATATTTGATAATGACTTTATTTTTTTTATGTACTCTTGTTTTATTTTTATGACCTTGTAACGTTCACTGTCTTCTGGCCAAAAGACTCTCATCAATAAAGGCACATAAATCCAACGAAGTTGGATTTTACCATTATCCGAATTTCTACCAAACCGGAGCATAGTGTAATTTAAATGATAAAACTACTGATATTTAAAAAATTGTACTAATGATCTCTTAAAGTTCATACCTTAACTCTTTGGGAAAAGGAGTAAAAAACTGGTATACCAGTAGTTAAGCAAGCAATTATTTTTTTATGTTATAATTCAATTTAATCAAATTGACACATATATGAGATCTTATTACACTACATGTGACAATAGATCACGCACTAATATGCAAAAGAAAACAATATTTAAAAATAAATAATTTACGATGAGCAAAATATGTCAGAAGGATAAATAGAATAATCATATTAAAATAAATAAAGTATTAATTTAATTACAGTTCACACTCCTAAGAATTTTACCTCGTCAGGTAAAATAATAAAATAATAATAATAATAAATTATTATTAGAAATAATAATTTATTTGTTTTAATAAAATAAGAATTCAATAACAAATAATATTCTTTATTTTAATAACTTAACTTTTAACAAAATATAAATTAATGTCTACTCGACAAATAAAATAATGCAGTTTTTAACATTTAAACAAAATTATACAAAATCTAGTTTCTTTGCTTAAATAAATTTAAAAAACTAGTGTGGATGAAGTAAAATTTCGTTCAAAGTCATTCAAAACTACAAACCTTACGCGATTTCGGTGCATAAGCCTCTTTGGGCAATTCTCTTAATTCTCTGACTCCGCTAGGAGAACGCCCCTACGCCCGGCACGTTAATTATTTTGTAAGAAAAATATTACATCAGAATCAATGAAACAAAAATATATTTAAAATTTAAGTAATAAATTAGGAAAATTCAGAGAATAAAATAAAATATAGTAAAATGTACTGGTTGACGTTTATTAATGAGGTATTACCCTTGGGCGTATTCAAAAATTATTTTTAAGGAGGCTTTTTATTTTTTTTTACTTTAGTAAACATGTTATAGATTTTTTTTTGCTAAAAATCAAAGTAATGATCAAAAAAAAAAAGGTTATCAAGTCCATATTAAGTTGTCTTAAAAAATAATGATAGCGCCGATTCAAAATATATCGCCCCCCTTTAATACGCCCCTAGTATATATAATGATTATTAACATTCTGATTGTAATATTTGTATTAATATAATAGAATAATTACAAAAAAAAAACAGGTTATTATTCCTGGGAATATGTAAAAAAATTCTATTTTGATAACAATATTGGTTACTATGATTTGACGTTAGACAGCATAGTTGTCCTAGATGAATCATAATTTTTACGATAAAATCATAAACTTGTACATCATATATGAGATAAATACGAGTATTAATACTGTACTATTCTGATAAGAAACGTACAAACCTATAACTGTCCTGAAATTTATGTATTACTTATTTAAATATAACATATAAAAAAAAAAGCTCGATTGTTCTATTATAAAATAATATGTGTACATGTAATATTAGTATACAGAAAAATCGTTATTTTTCGTTAAAATTTGAAGAATTTCAAATGCTCGTAATATTTGGTCGGATCTTGGATTTTTGGGAGGTTAATTACAAATCGAAAAAAAAGTCAAGTGTCAAGAATTTCGAACGGCGCATCTTGGCGTCTGGAACGTGTGTAAAAAAAGCTCTGTAAAACGGTGAAAAATGAACGGATTAATTAATATTTTTGTTGATTCAACATCAAGGCATTGCCTTGAATAGATGAAGCAAACTTTCTTTAATGATGATCTAAATAATTTAAGGTATTTTTGTCACGTTATAACCGGTCCATTATCAATAGGGGTTGTGGTTTAAAGTGACCGTTGTGCGAATGATAGGCGAGATTCAATATCATTGGCAAGTTGCAATGGCAACGTTAGAGTTAGTTTAGGTCGTATTCTATACGACCTCAAATTGCGTGATATAAATTATAATTGTTTCGAGAATCAGCCCCTTTAATATCTGATATTAGTGTTAGTTATATTTTAAATAATAAATAACATTCGAAATATATTTACCTGATATTATTTCAACTCTGATAAAAAATGTTCGGAACCTATCATTAACATGCAAGTCAATAAGCAGTGCGCTTCTGGTAGCTGCCTTAGTTGGCCCTTTATGTAGATACTCTACTGTAACTATTAACAGCTTTTTAAACTTTCAATAATATCTATTAAAGTTTTTCAAATGGTTACTTTATATAATTGTCTGGCACACATAGAAAATAACTTAATTAAAAATTGACTGTTCGATAACAAATTTTGAACCAATATTTTTAATAATTTAAAACATTTCAAAATTACGTCGGTGGTGAAAAACTGATCTAATTTCGTTTATTATTAGGCAATTGCGCCGTGCTATTTCTTTAGCTTATATAAAAATAAAAATATTTAAAATAATGTTTTAAAAGTCATTTAGGTCATTCTCTTAATTAAATCATTTTAAAATTAATTAAATTAGTATATTTCCGTTTGAAAAGCTCAAAATGATATATTAGATATAAGGGGTAACCAATGTTCGTTTAATTTTTAGTATATTGAAGCATAGTGAATGAATTTGTTTCACTGATTATTTTTTAATAAAAATGACTCATTGTTATACAATTTGTTTGGGCCTGATAGATGTTCAAATAAAGTAGGGGACACAACTTGGATTTGTCGGTTCGTGTTATTTATTTAAACAGATAGTTACTTGTTATGGTGCACAAGCAAAAGATAAAACACAATAAAATATAAGCATTGAAATAAAGAACAGGTATAGATTTATCGGCAGATGTCAAATGTTCGTAACTGCGGTGACGGTTCGGTCGAGTTGACGGACCGTAAAAAAAACGATATCGGTTTCAGGAAGATGACTGATTAACGCATTATTGCAGCAGGTATTCGACGTTAGGCATTTATTGGACTTTAAACCACGACGAAAACGCATGTAACGGTCCTGTTTTCATTGAAGCGGGGGCTGAAAAGGAGCTGATACGACCGCGGGGTGTCAAACGTGTGGCCGTGTCACATTTTTGTGGTAGAACTAAATTTTCTCTACGATTTACAAATATGTGATATACAGAGTGATCAAAATTTGGTAAGACACTCATTTTCTCAGAAACTATTGAGAATTTTAAGTTTTCTTAAAGAGAAAAAATATCATGTTCTAAAATCTCTATATTAATATGTTGTCAAATCATTAATTTTTTTGCCCCTTCAGGGATAAAATACTTATTTATAATTTTCTTAAATGGGAACCCTTATTTTTAATTTTATAATATAATAGAAAAAAACACATTATAGTAAAATTAATACCTTCTCAGCTTCGCATCGAAGCTAAAAAATTACAAGCAACTTTGTTCGTACAATTTTTTTTCCGAATAACCGTTCGTCCATTACAGCTTATTAAAGTTAAGTGATTTTAGGCCAAGTTTCTATTGTTTTTTTACTGTATTAAGTACAGAAGTCATTATTTTTATTTGCTGTTGCATAAACCAAATTTTATTGATCAAGTTATGATTGGTAAATTAGCTATAAAAATTTATAACGCACTAAATGAGTGATAACAATAATAGATTCAAATTGGGTTTTCGATGAATTATTAATACCAAAGACTATAGTGTGCAAGACTTACAAATAAAAATAATTACTTCTGTATTTAATACAGTAAAATAACAATAGAAACTTTGCCTAAAATCACTTTGACAAGCTGTAACGGACGAACGGTTAATTGGGGGTAGAAATTGTACGAACAAAGTTGCTTGTAATTTTTTTTTTCTATCATATTATAAAATTAAAAATGAGGGTTCCCATTTAAGAAAATTATAAATAAGGGTTCTTGTCCCTGAAGGGACGAAAAAAATAATGATTTGGCAACATATTAATATAGAGATTTTAGAACTTGATATTTTTTCTCTTTAAAAAAAATTTAAAATTCTCAATAGTTTCTGAGAAAATGAGTGTCTTACCAGATTTCGATTACCAGTATAGTACATCACATATAAATAGTTGAGTAATTTTTCATACATTAAAAAAAAATGTCATATTACACATTTTCTCTCTTCAAATTTAGTTATGTGGTATTGCCACAAAGATATCGTTGTTTCAAAAATATTTTTTCATTGGATTTAAACCTAATTATTTTATATAATCTCTAGAAGAACTCAAGAGTTCTGTGTATTTAACAATTATCTTTAATTTTTTCAAATATTTTTTGATAATGAATAATTTTTTAAGTAGTTTGGTGGATTATTGAGCTACTGAGATTATGCGTCCAATAAAAAAGCTAATATCTTAAAATTAAACAAATAAACAATAATAATTAGAAATTATTAATATACAGAGTTCAAACAATATTTTCGAAGTCTGATTAATAGTAGAGATGTTAAGTTCGTGAACGAATAGTTCATTTGAACTATTCTGAACTGTTTCAGTACCTGTAACTTAACAGTTCACAGTTCGAAAAAAATTGGTAGCAATGTATAAATGAAATAGTTCGCGAACTTTTTTAAAAATTCTTTGTGGTTCGTTGTTCGAAATACTGTAAATGGTTAATAGCTGTTTACAATTAGATAACAAATAAATTATATTTTTAAAATGTTACATGGTTTTTAACTGTTTAACAATAAAATAAATTCATACTATGTACAAATATTAGATCAGATTTCTGATTTAACTTATGACTACTGGTCAGTATATCTACCTTGAATTAGGTGATAATGATAACATGAGCCATGAGGGTATTAATAATAATTTTTTCTTAGTTTATGATGTTCAGGTTAAGGGTTAGTTTATAACTTAATTGCCCATAAGTAGTGTGAACTACAACTGAACTGTGTACTGCTATACTAATAGTGATAAAATGAATAGTTCATTGCCAAACAATATCAGCATGATCAATAAAATTAGTGAACTTAAGAATAGTTCATTTGAACTATTCACTTGAATGAACTATGAACTAATGAACTATTCACAGAAATGAACTAAACTTTCCATCTCTAATAGTAAAATTATTTTGTTTTTTGTATTCCCCTGCACGCGCGTTTATTAATCAGCGTTTGGGAATTCAATAACCGCTGTTATTGGACTATTTCAGTTGTTGTAAACGTATGGTATGTGATAAATATAACCTACAATAGTTGATGACAGTGGTGGTCGAGTGAACAAGGCTCTATAGTATCTAGCAATGCGATAACTTTATCTCATGAAAATGAACAATATATAAAATATATTATAATGTAAATTTGTACGATATATCGGATTGTTATCACATATCAACATAAAAATAATTTAAAATCATCCATGGCTCCAATTTTGTCAAGAATTGTAAGTTATTCTATTAAAAAATGCAATTTATGTTTCTAACTTAACAATTTTTATAACATTTATATATTAGCTTTGTCAACATATTAATTGAAAATATTGTCTGACCACTTCTTCCTTCATATAATTTTTAGAACATTGTATAATTAAATATAAAAAAAAATTATAATACAATAAAATCTAATAATTAAATTTATTAACAACAAAATTGAAAATTGGATTGTTTCAAGAGTTTGTTTCAAGTTACCAACGAAAAACAGTATGGTAATTATTTTTTGTAGGGCAAGTCAAAATTTGATAATTTGACTTATTAAAATAATTTTCCATTGTTGTAATCCAATTACGTTTTTTTATCCAACTTTCATGATCTTCGTTTTTTTCATTATCTTGATTTAATAGTATTTTATTATCATGTGAAGTGATATTATATTGAATATCATCTTTTTCCACAAATCCTTGATTAGAGTGGCTGATAATTGATTCTTTGTCTTGATAATTTTGATCATCATGTTCATAATATGATGCTACATTTTGTTTATAATTACTTTTGAACTGAGGTTGATGATTTTCATGGTACGAATATTCATAGTTATCAGTCTTGTATAAATGATCACCTATGTAAACGTTATATATATATAATTTAAAAAGAATAAATTTCAAAATAAAAGATCATCATCACCATAACCTCTATACCAACTAATTTGGTTCGCCTCTGGCATAAAGATGACGCAATTTTACACCAGCTAAAGTTATGTCAACTTGACATAACTTTATAATGGCTCAAGGAACTAGTATGGGTAAGGTGTGTATGTCACTGTTACCATATGGTCACCTTTCCGGGAACCAACAGTAAACAGCGCAGCTGAACATCAGCACTAAGATGGCAACTGAATGATCCATTACACCACACCATGCCCTGTTAATTCTTAAGAATAAACTTAAAAAATAAACTGAACATAAAATATAGAATTTTACCTAAATCTTCATTGTTAATGTGAATTTCATCCTTTTCAACTGTATCTGTATATGAAGTGTTTTCATTTGTCCGCTTTGATAAAAATTCTGTGCTATGAGAAGTGTAACAGCAATGTAATATTCCAGGGTCAATAGGGTGTGCTTCTGATAACAATAAAAATAAAAAATAATATAACAATACATAGTAAAGTTATTAACACGGACACCGTATATAGAAAGTGTTCCGGAAATCATATGAAAAATAGAAGCAGGGTACAGGATTAGATCCTGCGACCCAAGGCGTCATAGAGACAAACTTTACCACTAGGTCACTGAGCACTTTTGATTCAGATCCTGTTACACTTTAATTTAGATAGATAACGTGATGTGCGGCTGAGGGAAACACGGTAACGTGTATTTATTTTTATGAAATTTTAAAGGAAAGAAAAAATTGTACGATCTGGAAAGTCCACCATGAGACAAAAGTTGGCCCGAAAGGACAAACTTTGTTCCTAAGTGTGGACGAGAAAAGCATGGTCAAACTGGAGATATTGAAGCGCAGTCCATATTTTGGAATGGGCAGAGTTTGCTTCATGGGCCATGTTTCCAAGCAGCCACCAGCCCAGAACGATGTGAAAAAATCAGCTCCTAAAAAATCTGGGAAGAGAAAAGCTGAAGAATCACCAGTGCCACTCGGGAAAGGAGGCAAGGCACAGATAAGAAATAAACAGACGTATTTCACTTCTGCCTCGAATTGGAAGGGAGGAAGTGTGTTACGTAATGGAAAGGGACTTAAGACACCGCCATCCTCAACGACGGCCACAGCTGAGGGGAACCTCTCCGCGGATCCGAAAGGAAATGTGAAGAGTGAACCTAAAGAAAGGTCGCCACTTGGGGACAGTCTAGGGACACCACCCACAGGGAGGGTTGTGTGATACAAAGACTATTTCAGACATCTCTATCAAGTACAGCGTGCTTTCTCAAGCGTCTATATCAGTTTTCTGAATGGTTGAAAATAGAATTCAATTCACGCAAATAAACCTGCATCACAGTAAGAAGGTCAGTAGTGTATTACTAAGGACCCTAACTGAGAGGCATAAAACACCCTTACAAATATCACTTATTCAGCAACCATGGATTAATGGTGATCAGATTAAGGGTCTAAATTTAAGGAATTTTAAACTGTTTCATAAACAAGCAGATAAATCAAGAACTTGTATTTTGGTTAACGAAAAAGTTAAAGCAAGCTTGATACTTAATCTATCAAGTGCAGATTTTACTATTATCAGAGTAACACTAAGTGATGATAAAAATATTATAGTAGCTTCAGGATATCTACCATATAAGGTCACTGACCCAGAGAGGGACCTAACTATGCTCTTTAATTAATGCAAAAATGAAAAATTAGTACTCATCCTAGGTATGGATGCTAATGCTCACCACACTTTTTGGGGAGCAGTAACATCAAATAAAGAGGAGATGTTATAATGGATCTATTGCTGACTACAGACCTAAGTATACTGAACAGAGGTAGTGAACCTATCTTTGTAATCAGGAACAGACAGGAAGTTATTGATATGCCATTTTGCTCAAAAGGGTTACTTCAAAAGATAAAAGGATGGAAAGTGTCCTCCGAACCTTCTCTTTCTGATTATAGACACTTGCGTTTTACTTTGGAAACAAAGTTGATACGGAGTACTAAAGGAACCCAAAAAGAACAAACTGGAATAACTACAGGAAAGATCTTTCACGTGACCTAAATAACCTACTGTTTAGATTGGGGTCAAGACAGAGTTCTGAAAGGGCTGTAAATATCTCACAGAATTCCATTGTCTCGGCTTACAAAGAGAACTGTCCTTTAATAGAAAGGAAAGGTACAGGACAGGGTGTAACTTAGTGAAATGTTAACCTGTCTAAATTAAGAAAGATTTCACGAATGCTCTTGAATAAAGCAATGGAATCAGGTTTGGAACAACACTGGGAATCCTATATGGACGTCCAAAGGAACTATAAATCTGCATTAAAAAAGTCCAAAAGGTTAAGCTAGAGTAGTTCTGTGGGGAAATACAACAACTCCCTATAGCAACCAAACTTCTGCGATCATTAAAGAATGGACCAAACAAAACTATCAAGGCAATATTACTTCCAGACAACTTGTTCACCAATAACGATAGTGAAACATTATCACATTTTTATTTTATTATTTTATTTTATTTTCTAACGCCTAAACAGGCAATTTTACAAAAGGAAGCAAACATTAAATGTAAGGTTAATTATTTTGATACAGCAACAAAGTACTACAAACTAAAAACGTTAAAAGCTAAATTTGAATATATACAACAAGACATTAATACTATGTACAATATAAATTATTTTAATTAGCAGCGTAGAATTATAACTAAACACAAAATGGGTCTAGACTAAACTCATCAAGTCGTCTAAGTATTCTGTGTAGTGGGTGGTTTTGGCCATATGAGGTGGAATGAAAGGGAAGTTTGAAAAGGGAGTGGTTTCTTGTGTTAAAGGAAGGGACACGAAAGTATATTTTGGATAGAAGTTCAGGAGAATCAATGGAACCATTGAGAAGGGATTTTATGAATGAGATGTCAGCATCTTCTCTGCGGGAGGCTAAGGAAGGAAGTCGGATAGCGGTGCGAATAGTGGAGTAGTCATGAGGAGGATGATTTATTTTCAAAAGGAAGGCAGCGTAAGAAAGGAATTTATTTTGCACTCTTTCCATTCTTATAATGTCTTTAGTAAGGTAAGGGTGCCATACCACAACACCATACTCTAGTATAGATCGGACCAAGGAAAGATAGAGGACACGGAGACAGGAAGGAGAGGAGAAGTTAGAAGTGTTTCTTTTAATAAAGCCTAATACTTTTAGGGCTCTACCAATAATATTATTCATATGGAATTCAAAGGAAAGAGTAGGAGTGTAATAAATACCGAGGTCTTTGATAACGGAAACACGGTTGAGAAGTGAGCCTTGGAGGAAGTAGGAGTGGTGTAAGGGGGAGAATTTGCGGGAGAACGACATTATGTGGCATTTGCTGGTATTAAGAGATAGGTTGAGCTCCATGGCCCAATTGGAGAAAGTGTCGAGGTCGGATTGAAGGAGTAAACAGTCAGATGGTGAATTTGATGAACACACACTTTCCTGACTCTATAATTAACAACAGAGAACAGCCGCATGAAACAGAGGAATATACCTATTGCATACATTTTATTCTTCACAGCTTTCCCTATTTTAGTGGTTAAGCAGAGTAGAGCTGTATCAGTAGATTTTCCCGTTTAATTCGCATGTTAGTTTTCATGTCAAGGGTTCTCCTTTAGAAGTCCCTCCTTAATGTACCTATCTCTGTAACTCTGTTATTAACGTAAAATTAACATTATTATCGTAATAGATCACTTGAATAAAAATCATAGTAATCATTTCTAATTAATTTTTGGTGTTCAAAAAGATTCTACAACGGAAATATTCAGAACTTAATTAATTTAAATGATTTACTTTGACTAAAAGAACCAATAAAAAAAAGTTGTTAAAAAGATTTAGTTAATTGAGGGTATTATAAAATTTGATTATAATTGTAAAAATCCATTGTTAAATTCAGAAGAAACTAAAAATCATTTTTTTTTAAAATTTATAATTTATATAGCAACATGTTACAAAAAAATTCGGAAAACTATAGACTGGTAGTAGCTCACAATAGAGTAAAAAAGTTAATAAATTACAAAGTAAAATGATTTACTTTTGTAGTTGAGTACTTTTATCATATCAAATCTAATTCGACAATAAATATTTTGACACGGCCCGCGTCGCTTCGTTATACACGATGCCCCGCGACTCGTGCGATCTTTATCAGCCGTCGCCCTACTATGAGTATTTGACTGACCAACACCGCGTGTTATACGCTACGGTGCAAAGTCCAGCAAATGCCGCACGGCCGACGACGACCCGCCGAAAATGATGCGAGAGTCTTCCTCCCGTTGTGTCAGCGACAACGTCGACAGCCGAACCGCACCCGCGCACCGTCGCCTACAACGCTGCTACCCATTTTGCCGTCCAAGGATTACGCCGAACATCGCGTCGTCGACGCCAGCGAAAGTGCCGCGATATTATGCGAAGATTATTATTACTGTGTTAATCTTTTCGGTTTGTTTTATTTTTGTTAAAATAATCTGTTGTCGCTCATTTAATAAACGGCCCACGGGTCTCTACCCTCAAAACCAGTGTCGACCACATTTTTGCGACGCAAGTCGTGTCAATTGACAAATATTAGAAATGAATGAATTTAATTGTTTGTATGGAGAAAGCTGGTTAAGCTACTTTTTATTTGAATAAGGAATTTATTAAGGGTAATATCTTCAACTAAATACGAATTGTAATCATTTGATGTATTGTTGAAAAAAGTAGGCCGAGTGAGGGTTGGCAAAATAAATTGTAGCTACAAAAAAAACCACATAGTAAAATAATAATAACTTGAATAAGAAATTTCTTCTCACGAGAGGAGACTATAGTGATGGAATCCTTGATATTTATTGAAGTTATTGAATCTAAATGAGATAAAAATCAAATAATTTGAAAACTCAAAAAAAAATGCATAATGTTATTAGCCACAAGCGGATTCGAACCATGTATCCTAAGCACGAAAGACACATTTGTTACCGACTCGGCAACTGTTTGTCACTTTTGTCGCATTATAGAATTGGCAATTTAATCTAACAAATTTAAAAGGTAGTTTTTCAACTTTAAAAAAGCCAAAAAAATTTAAATAAGTTTAATTTCTCATGTCTTATGAACTTTATTCTATGTCAGTTAAATTATATAATATTCATGAAAGTCAATGTATTCCCCTTTTAAGATATTATAAAATAAAATAAAATACAAAACACAGAATTTTAATACAAAAATAGCATATTTTTGAATACGGTAGCCATTTGCGCATAGAAGATAGGTCGTCGGGACAAATTTTTTTTTTAATTTTATAGTACATGACATAAGCTTTAATTTTATATATATTGAAAGGACGCAGTATTTTCGAAACATTTTCAAAAGTTAAGTTGAAAAAGTTAGTTTTTGTAAAAAAGTTGCTATTTTAAATCCCTCCCTGTGAGCAGAGTAAGTGTTAGATTTTCAAAAAAAATGATATCAAATGAAAAGAAATTACCTAAGGTTTCAATATAAAAAAATATTATTTTGATTTGTTAATATTTGAAAAAGTTATGTCAGTTTTAAGTACAAAAAACATCCCGATAGAAGGTGATTTTTATTGCAAACATTACATTTTTTTTTTAATTTCGGCAGCCATTTGCACATAGAAGATAAGATGTCGGGAAAAATTTTTTTTTTTCATTTGATAGTATATAACATAACCTTTAATTTGATATATGTTTAAAGGACGCAGTATATCCGGAAAATTTTTAAAAGTTCAGTTGAAAAAGATCTATGTCTTTTACAATATTTCAAGTTTTGAACACCCCCTATATAAGGGGAAATTGTCCAATTTTAATTAAAAGTATGTCAAATCAAAGATATACTAATTTATAATGTATTTAGAAAAAAAAAATTTGTGCTGATACTTAGATTTTTCGAAAAGTTATAGCATTTTTAAGTTGAAAATTTAAAATCGAATATCGAAAATTTTAACACAAAAATAGCGTTTTTTTTAACTTCGGCAGCCGTTTGCATGCAGAAGACAAAGTGTCGGGACAAATTTTTTTTTTCATTTTATAGTACATAAAATAAGCATTAGTTTGATATATGTTTAAAGGACGCAGTATTTCCGAAACATTTTCAAAAGTTAGTTTTTATAAAAAAGTTACTATTTTCAATCCCTCCCAGTGAACAGGTTAAGTGTTAGATTTTCAAAAAAAAGATATCAAATGAAAGGAAAATATATAAGGTTTTAGTATAAAAAAAAATTATGTTGATTTGTTAATATTTGAAAAAGTTATGGCAGTTTTAAGAAAAAAATGACAAAATTTACCGATTTTTAAATTTGTAATTTTTTTGAAGATTTTCCCCATTTGCGGGTTGGGTTTGGTTTTGATATATTCAATAACTTTTGTTCAAACAAAAATTTTGTGTTACTTTATTTAAAATAGTTTTTACAGTTATTTTGTGTTTTGAACAATGTTAAAAACACATTTTTTTATTATTTTATTATTTTTATAATGAGGTTGGAATAGTCAATAACCATTGAGTCTATTTCTGAATTAATATTATTGTCTACGATTGCGCAAAGTGAACTTGAAATATTTACTAATTGAAAGACTAGTCAAAGTTGTTGGTATGCCATTTGATCATACTTTCTTGTATTTTATAATAAGATAGTGTTAGTTTTAATATGGTATAATGTCAATTGACTTCTCAAAAAAAATCTTATTTTAATTTTTATCATACAATAAGATTTTTTTGTACATTCAGTAGTTATTAACACGGCCGCCGGGGATTGACGGCCGGATATAGAAAGTGTACCGGAAATCATGTGAAAAAAAGAGGCACGGTGCAGGATTAGAACCCGCGACCCAAGGCGTCATAGAGACAAACCTTACCACTAAGCCACCGTGCACTTATGATTCAGATCCCGATACACTTTCATTTAGGTTGATAACGTGATGTGCGGCTGAGGGAAACACGGTACCGTGTCATTATTTTATGAAAGTTTATTTCACTTTTTCAAAACGGGCTACTAACAGGTTAAAAAATTCAACATTTTAACTTAACTAGATAACTTTAGTTATCTAGTTTATATAAGTAACTTTGATTTTATTTTTAACAATTTAAATAATTATTTAGTAATTCAGGTTAATAGACTATTTAGTGTAGTACTAAATTAAAATGAAATTTTTACAAGACACGTAATATAAAGAAAAAAATATATCAATTATACCCAGGATGATGGTATTGGACTGTCCATGTCTTGAGTAACAATAACAGAATTATGTTTTTTAGTTTTTTAGTTATGTTATAATATTATAAGAAATAGATTTCCTTGTTGTAGTTGTAGTTTTTATGATAGTTAAAATTTTGGGTTAGGTTTGGTTTCTTTGGTTGTGAACGAAGACTGTGAATCAGCTCTTGATTAATTTTTTGCTGATTCACAATGTAGTGGTGCGAGTTTTAATGAGACATTGGTTGTCCTGAAGTAATGCCACACACCCAACCAAACCCAACCCAACCAAACACTACATAAACCCAACCCAGCCAACTGTTGTATAAATACAAAAATTATGATCATTATTACCAGTGTTAAATATATAGCCTCCGGCATCAATTATGCATTCGCGACCTCCAGCTGTCTTCCATACTTTTCCATGAGATCCATCATTATGAATAAAATTGTCAGGATCAAATAATAGATACAGATATTTTGTAGTCTCTGCCAAGAAAAATGATTCCATTCTATTTTGTAATGTATGGTGTTTACAATTTTTAATCTTTTTAAAAAATTATGATAAATTATTTAAAAGCTGGTATACCAGTATAAAAAATATAAATTATTTACTGTAGCATATCCACATCGAGTACGACTACTATGCTGTATGGAACGTAATAAATCACTACCAATGTCTAATAAATATGGGTCACCTTGAGTAGCTTTATATAAGTACATAGCTGATTCGATGAGCTCTGGACGTAATGGAAATGAATCTCGGACTGCATCTTGATTAAGTACATTGTATACCTCAGGTATAAAACCATATATTTTCAATACATCATGATAATTTGATATTGTTTTCATAGCACTGTCAATATCTCCTACAAAATTAAATACGTTACACTTTCAATAATAGATTGATGAGATAATAATTACCAATTAGACTTAACAATCCTGGCCAGTAAGAATCAAGTGATTGGTATACTGGCATTGTTATTTGACCTTTATTCATGCTAACCCAAAAATACCAACCAGCTGCAGTCATTGAATACTTATCAATTGACTTCTTTAATTCATCAAACATACTCCTTAGATTGGGCATATTAAAAAGTAATGAGCCTTTTACAAGATATTCAAAGTAAGAATCAATACCACCACCTATACCAGAGTCATGGGCAATCCACTGTCCTGTAGCCACATCTAAGTGATTTCCCATTAATCCTATTTTGGACTTATGTTGAAATAAAGAATATAGGGCTCTTAAAGCTACCTAAATAATTATAAAATAATCTTTTAAATTGAACATATTAAGTTCATAATAAAAACGTTAAAAAATATTTATACATTAAACTAAAAATAATAGTTATAATGTAAAAATATATAAATTATTACACAAAAAGTACATTTATATAGAAATATTTAATTATAAGAGTTTTATATCAAAGTATAACTGAATACCAAAAGAAATATAATTTATGATACTCATCAAGAAATATTTTATTCATAATTGTATAAAAACTAAAACTTGCTAAAGCTCCAAAAAATTAAGTAATATATGTATAGTGTTACATATTAAAAATGGTGGGGGAATAATTAAACCTCTTCTTCTTTTTTGAAGAAAATGGCCATCGAATTTAACAAAAAATGTAATTTTTATGTAAAAATCACTGTTTAACATGAAATACTTTAATACTTAAAACTGCCATAACTTTTTCAAAAATTAACAAATCAACATAATTTTTTTTTTTATTTGAAACCTTAGATATTTTCCTTTCATTTAATATCATTTTTTCAAAAACTAACACATAAACTGCTCACAGGGGGGGATTTAAAAAAGCAATTTTTGCACACAAGTTAAGCTTTTTCAATTTAATTTTTGAAAATGTTCATGAAATATTAACACTTTTATTTAATCTTAAGCTTATATTATATATTTTACAATGAAAAAAAAAAAATTGAAATATAGATTTTCTTCTTTGTGAAAATAGCTACCATATTCAAAAACATGGTATTTTTGTGTTAAAATTCTGGGTTTTGCATTTCATTTTATTTTAAAATATCTTACAAGGGGAATACACTGACTTTCATGAATATTATATAATTTAAACTTATTTAATATTTTTTTGCTTTTTTAAAGTCCAAAAAGTAACTTTAAAATTTGAATTAGCTTAAATTGTCAATTTTATCACCTGACGAAAGTGATCGACAGTTGCCGAATAGATAACACTTGTGTCTTTCATGCTTAAGGACCGAAGTTCAAATCCGCCTGTGGCGAATAATTTTTACATTTTTTTTTTAGTTAGAAAAAAATTTTCAAATCATTTGATTTTTATCTCGTTTAAATTTAATAACTTCAATAAATATCAAGGTTCCCACCACTATAGTCTCCTCTCGTGAGAAGAAATTTCTTATTCAAGTTATTATTATTTTACTATGTGGTTTTTTTTGTGGCTACAATTTATTTTCCCAACCTTCACTTGACCTACTTTTTTCAAATTTATTTCAAAAATAGTAATTATAAAATTTGCTGACTACATATTAATCTTAACAATTTCATTTTTTTCTATTTAATAATATCAAGTTCAAACTTGCAAGTTGAGCTAAAAGTTATAGTAATGAATTCATTTTTTTTTTTATTAAAAACTTTCACTTTAAAGGACGAAATAAAGTAGGTTTAAAATTATTACTTTTAACATATAAAAATCAAAATCAATAATAATTTGAAAACAATTCAATATGACAATTATATTATATAAAATTTTATATTATATTTTTGAATCTAAGAATTACTAATCAGGATATAATTAAGGAAATAGTTGATGTTGCTTTTGTAATTATTTACCAATTTCTTAAAATTGAACATTATCTACAGATTTGCATCGAAGCGTTTCTTATGATAGTGATTTTAATCACTGTCAGATAAAATCTATACTATGGACCCAACTATGCCACGTCCCCACTGTGCAGCGATCCCATTGTGCTGGGTTTTTTTACATGTAAATACTCATTTTTTAATAATTAGTAATAATATCAAGACTTCAAAGTAATAGAAAAGTCTAATTTCAAATTTGAAAACTGTGCGAAAAGTTGATTTAGAAAAGTATAGTTTTGAATCCGATGAGAGTTCCTTGTAGACCAATGTATTTATTCATAAATAAAAAAACTTTATTTTAAGTATTGCATCAACCCCTTTAATTTTTATACATTTTCGTCATATAAGTAACAAAATAAATTACTTGATCAATTTTAGCTTCGATGCGAAGCTGAGAAGGTATTAATTTTACTATGATGTGTTTTTTTTTTTTTTTTATGTCTCTTGCCACTTTTTCTCAGCTCACTGGACCGATTTCTTTTAACAATACGTCAAAAGATCACAAATCGAATCTAGTTGAAGACATTACCCTTAAAAATTGAAAAAATTTCCCTCGTTCCCCGTAAATGGGGGAAACCTCCAAAAAAATTACAAATTTAAAAATTGCTAATTTTCGAAATTTTTCCAATTTTTTTTACTAAAAACTGCCGTAACTTTTTCAAAAATGAACAAATCAATATAATTTTTTTTTTTTTATAGATGCTTTATGTCTTTATCTATCATTTGATATATATTTTTTGATGATCAAACACTTAACCTGTTCACTGGGGGGGATTGAAAATAGCAACTTTTTTTATAAAAACTAACTTTTTCAACTTAACTTTTGAAAATGATCCAGAAGGTCTGATACTTTTATATATATCTTAAATTAAAGCTAATGTAATGTACTTTATTATGAAAAAAAAAAAATTGACCTCTGGGCTTGTCTTCACGGCGAAAATGGCTACCAAATACTATTTTTTTTTACTGTTTTTTTATTGTATGAATTTTTATTAATTCAGTTTTTTTTTAATTTTGATTATATAGAAGAAAATAAATATTTAGTTACAATGATGGTAACAGATATATATATATATATATATTGATTTATTATATATATTTTATAGTTTTTATAGTTAAATATTTTTTTATTATCAACAAATATTTTTGATTTATTTTTAAAATTTTATTTACAAACAATCAATTTTTTTTATGATTCGTAACTTTATTATTCATAATTAGAGGTCAAAACTATGCATTTATAAAATTTACAAAAAAACCACTTCCTAGACACTTCACTCAATGAAAATTTATCATAGGTTTACAGAGTGAGTGGTTTATCATAAACCGCTCGATTACTCTCAAAATATATACAATTTTGAAAAAAAAAATTTTTAATTTCTTTTAGTTGCATATACTTTTTAATTAATCAGCCAATAATCTCTTTTTATAATCATCCCTTATAACTTAAAGGGGTATCATCTTTATTTCTTTAAATGGCAACATACATATTAATATATACATAGAAAAAGACTGGTTTATAACAACTTTTGGACCAGTACTTTGGAAGTTATTCTCATTTCTACACCAAGGTGGAATGAAGAGTACAGTGACAAAATGACTAATAATAAAAATAACAGCACTCACTCCTCACCTCCAGTCATTATTTTAAATTGTTAATAACTTCTGAAATACTGGTCCAAAAGTTGTTGTTGACCAGTAATTTTCTTATTACATAATTTTCTATGTGTAAGCTAGATAAATATGTATGTTACCATTTAAAAGAAATAAAGTTGAGAATACTTAAAGTTATATGGGATGATTCTAAAAAATAATTATTAATTGATAAATCAAGAATTATATGTACCTAAAAGAAATCAAAAATTGTTTATGGAATTGTATTTATTTTGTAAGTACTCAAGTAGTTTATGATAAACCGATATCCCTGTATATTGGAAATATGTGAAAAAAAAAACAAAATTCAGCAAAATAACTTGCAGTTTATACAAATAAAAATTAACGCTATGAACGGAAAAGAACATGGCCAGTTTTGAATATAGTTTTACATTAACAACAGGCGTATTGTATCGGTCAGATTGACGTAAAAATCTAGAGGTCTTTAGCCATTGAGAAGGGTTAAGATTAGTCTGAAATTACAGAACCCAAAGATCATATAATAGTGAGCCTACATTAGACAATGTTACCATTAAAAAAATTCACTTAAATATTTAGACCATACAAGAAAACCGAAAGAAATATCCACAATGTGATAAAGAAACACTAAAAAAACAATTTTAATCTCCTCCCTGTAAGCAGGTAGATTTAAAAAAAAAATTTATAAAATGATAGGTAAATATCTCACGGACCTATAAAGAAAAATTATATTGATTTGATCATTTTTAAAAAAGTTATGGCAGTTTTAATTAAAAAAAATTGAAAAAATGTCAAAACTTTCTAAAATTTGTAATTTTTTTGGAGATTTCCCCAATTTATAGGGGAACGTGGGAAATTTTTTCAATTTAAGAAGATAATTTCTTCGACTAGATACAATTTGTGATCTTTTGACGTATAGTTAAAAGAAATCGGTTCGATGAGAGATGAGAAAAAATGGTAACAAACACAAAAAAAAAATAATAATAATAAAAGAGAAAAACACATCATAGCAAAATTAATACCTTCTCAGCTTTGCATCAAATCTAAAATTGCCTAGTTATACATTTTTTTAAAAGTTACAGCAATATAAAGTTAAAAATATAAAATTAAGCATTTTCTATAAAAATAGCATATTTTTTAATATAGTAGCCTATTATACCATTAAGACAAGTCCAGGGGTCAAATTTTTTTTTTTTCGAAATATAGTATATTACATAAGCTTTATTTTAAGGTATACATAAAATGTTTAAAAGTTGAGTTAAAAAATTTAATTTTTGTAGAAAAGTTGTCATTTTGAAACCCTATCTATAGGCAGATAGGGTTAGATTTTCAAAAAAATATATACCATTTAATGCAGGAATAATATAGGAACATAATTTGTTCTAGGGGGTAGCCATTAATATACAATAATTAAGATTGAGAAAAACAAAAATTAATATCTGTTTATCATTGATACACTCGTGATGATTAAAACAAATGTTATAAATTTATTAAGTCCTAAACGCTATTTATAAGGAAACTCAAAATATTTTCTTAAATATTTGACTTAACAACAAAAATTTTAGGTATCATAAAAAATTAGGTTATTCTATCATGATACTTTAAGTAACAACATCATTATGTTTAATAGACTATTTTATTTTTCCAAAACAAACAGTGTTTAAATTTAAGGGGTCGGTCTAGCCTAGTGGATAGAAACGTACGTTTTGGCACAGTCTTGGGGTTGACACCCTAGGGTATTAACGAGATTTTTCTAGTGATTTTCTCATTGGTGTTGTCTGGTCTCTAGTGCAAGCCAACCATAATCCTGTACCGTCCATCATTGACTAGTCAAGAATTATCTTTGACTATCTAACATGTGAAAGAGGGCCATCACCCTCTGTAGCATATTAAATTCGAGAAATAGAAGGATATAAAACATTTTTTATACAGAATGTTAAAAATATAATTGTTGAGAGTAGTAGAGTGGTATTGTCAAATGTAAATTTATACATTTATTTTTATAAAAATAGCAAAAAAAAATTTTCTACTTCAAGAAAGGGGATAGTTTTCCAGAGTCCCCCTTCAATATTATTTTAAATAAAAATGAATGGTACCATGATATTTTTCATAAAATGCTGGTACAAATGGAAGGGTTTTTAGTCTTTATCGAACTTTAACTATTTCAAATTAATGTTTTATACTATGTTTAAATTCTTGTAATACCAGGGTATTCTAAAATAATCATTCTAGTTTACAATATTAACTTTATGATTTACATTACAATTTCAATTCCCATAGGGTTAGTCTGTCTAATCTAAACTTTAAATTTATATTTCTAGATTAAAAAAAATGACTACTATTCAGGTTGATAAAAACAAAATTAAATAAATGTAAAAACATGTTCTAAAATTGTGTATATTATAAATACATAGCTTGTTGTAAAAATGCTTAACGAAAAGTAAAATATTTATTAGTTAAATATAAAAAAAAGCATTAAGTGGTGTTCAGATGTAATGATAAATGTATGTTGATTATATAAATATACTTTATTTTTATCGACTAGAATATTAGTCATTTTTTTTAACCAACAAATATTTGCAACGTTTTCACAATATAAAAATATTTTTACATTTTCTATACAACTTTAAAATATTTACATACTTCTTCAAATATAGAATCACCAGTTAAACGTGACAAAGTACCAAATTCAATAATAAATGTACCCACTCCAGCTGTACATGTAACTGTTGTTTCCCCTTTTGGAACACCTGAACGTAAATTTACAGTACCATAAGGCATTCCAGTGGGAGTATCAAATGCTGGTAATAATTTTCTAGCTACATCTTCTGCCATACGTAATAATGGTCCATTACAAGGCCATCCCATCTCTAAATTTTTAGAAGCTCTAAAATGTAGAAATTAATAGAAAAATTATTTATTGGAGATAATGATATGGAACATGACATAGTAAAAAGTTGATATACCTATGTGATAAAATATGAGCACTCAATAATCCTCCCACAACTCGTATATTAGTCTCAAATACAGATACGTTAATATCAGCATCAAAAGTTACATTTAACTTAAGATACTCAACTGCCTTATTAAACTCGTCATGGTGTCCCATGACAATTAGAGTATCCAAAGCATCAATCAGGGACAAAGAATAGCTTAAAAAGTAAACCACAAAATATAAGTATAAATTTTTGTTTATTAAACATTAATTATATACAAATTATAATTAATCAATTATTCTTTACCTTCCCCAAGTATCTACTCCATCACATGTCAATGGACGTAGTTCATCAAAAGGATAAGCATGATTCATATAGCCAAAATAGGCATGTTCAAACATTTCTTTCACTTCAAGTCTGAAACGATAGATTGACTCAATTCACTGATAAAATAACAAATAACTAGCAACAAAAAATTAATACTTTAAATGTTTCAAGCGGTTTCTATTATAGGAACGAACACATAACCCATTTTTAATAGTTAACAACAAAAATAGAAGAATAAAACCGAAATAAAGATGCATGATTAAAATATAAAATAAATTATGTCACTAAAACTAATTATTAATCAAAACTAAGCTTCAACCCATATTTTTAACATACAAAACTTAATCTTAAACTAAAATAAATTTTTATCTAACATAATAAATTTATGTGTGCACAAAATCAATAAATCGTAATTCAATATAACATATTTTAAATTAAGATATTTTATTCCAGTTTAACTTTTTATATTATAATATGGATGTTGATAACCGAACAGATAAGATAATATTTGAAAATAAATACTGACATCAACATTTATTATGGATGGAAGTTAGCAATACCTAATCAGATACTAAATGCATTATACACCGCTAGATGGCGAGACTTAATTAAAAAAATATGTTATATTATATTGTCTTCTTCTTCCTCGTCATAATCACAACTACTTGGGGTCGGCCACCTTTATCCTAAACTTCCACTTAATACGATCTCCACATCATCTACTCTCACATCAGCTGTCTTCAAATCGCTTTCAATAGCATCCCTCCATCTCTTTTTTGGTCTTCCTCTATACCTCTTCTTCCTCCAACAATCTTTTCTATAATTGTTCTTACAGCTTCCGATTGTTCTCTCCTCATAACATGGCCTAACCATCTAAGTCTATTTTCTCTTATCTTATCCACGATTGACGCTACACCTATTTTTTTTTTACAACCGTTAGGTTGGTTAATACAATTGGTATATCCTGGGGAAATTTAAGTGCAGTGGTATCCCGTGCCTTTGCACTGGGAACATGGTGCTTTTTCGCTACCGTAGAAGCGAACGCATGGTCACCCATCCGTTCACCTACGGTGGTAGGTGCGGCTTAACACTAGAGTTTTATCAACAACAAGTATACTCGTTCCTTATCATATCTGCTCTAGTCACTCCACTTATCCATCTAAGCATTCTTATCTCTGCTACACTCATTCTCTACTCTAATTTTTTGTCCACTGCCCAACACTCTGAACCATATATTATAGCTGGTCTAACTACAGTCTTAAAGAATTTATCTTTCAGGCTCATTGGAATTCTTTTATCGCATAACACCAGACGCTTTTTTCCACTTCAACCACTCCCCACTTATTCCTGTGTCTTAAATCCTCGTCAATACCACCGCTCTTTTGCACAACTGATCCTAAATACTTAAAACTTTCCACCTCTCCTATCATGCCCTCGCTTTTGGTCACTGAACTCCACATTTCATCCACCTCGTGTTCTTCTTTGTCTAACTCATACTCTGTATACTCTGTCTTACTTTTAATTATTCTTAAACCTTTTTCTTCAAGAGCTGATCTCCACACCTCTAGTCTTTGATTAATTTCCTCTCTATTATATATATTTCTATTTTAAAAATTAAAATTGACACGTCATTGAATCTCAGTCTTCACTATTGAATAAATAACTAAAAATTGCTATAAGACTTTATAAATATTGTGAAAATGTTGTTAAAAAAATTTAATTTATTAATGTAATATAAATAAATCAGATTAGCAAAAGTTATGTTGAACGAAATCTTGAATCACCAAAATAAATGACTATGAAGTTAGTAATTCCTATTCAGATACAAAAAGGATAAAAACCGCTAGAGGGCGCTACTTAACATCAAAATATATGTTTTATTATATTGTACTTTTGAAAAAGTTCCGAAGGGAGTACACTTAAAAATTATAATACAAATAAAAGCTTATAAAATTTCGTATCGTATGGCATAAGTCAAAAATGGTACTCGAGTGTCCAAGTAACCCGTATGAGAGAAATTGCTGGTCAATATCTGAGATAATAACAATACATATTCTCCAACCGGGCTTCGGTTTTTTGTACTTTTGACAAAGTTCCGAGACGAGTCCAGGCATTAACTATATACCAAATTAAAGCTTATAAAATTTCATATCTAAATTACTTTAATTGTTATTTGGTATAACTCACATTTTAATTCTATTTAACACTCAATGCCGTCCCACTTATTTTTTTTAAATATTTTAGAACCATTTATTATTTTATATATGTTAAATGTTTAAATTTAAAATTATCAGACTACGGACTGTCTATCATAAGATTTGTTAGTAACTTACAATAAGTGTGGTTACAATGAGTGTAAATACAAAGGATTTCTCGCGTAATTAAAAAAAAAAAATTGTTTGTTACTTATGAATATATTTTAAAATATAAAATTGATTGCTATGATAAACCCTTATAAGGAATTTAAAAAGAAACAAAAAAAATTTAATTCAAACAAAAAAATACCCCCCAGGGGGGCACTATGTATTTAGTGCTACGGGCTTAGCGGACCCGGGGCCCCGAACTATGGGCTGACTTTAGTTAGTTGGCTCAAACTGGTCCTCCAGGTTGGGGGTTTGAGCGACGGGCTAACAACCCGTCCTCTTTAAAAACAAAACTCTTGTTAAGAAACTTCAACCAAAGCCTCGGATTGTGGATAAAAATGGATCACGGAATGGAAATAGGAACCGGAAAAATTTGGAGTTACGGATTGGAACTTGGAATATAAGAACTTTATTTAAACCAGGCGCCTTGAAATGTATTATTGATGAAATCACTAGATACAAAATCCCCATAGTAGCCATACAGGAGGTTCGATGGCTTAATAGTGGTAATATACAAAGTGGCAACTCAATAATATTCTACAGCGGTCTACAAACTGGTAGACACGAGAAAGGAGTTGGTTTTGTGATTGATAAAGCAGTGATGACTCAAGTTAAAACATTTGTGCCAGTGAATGAACGCATCTGCTACCTACGAATATCTCACCAGAAACTAGATTTAATAATATTGAACTGCTATGCGCCGACTGAAAATGCAGACGACGAGGAAAAAAATAGTTTCTATGATACTTTAGAAAGAACTTTTGACGCATTGCCTAAAAATTGTATTAGGTTAATTGTTGGGGATTTAAATGCTCAAGTTGGTAGAGAAACATCCTTTGGACAAACGATCGGTAAAGAGAGCTGGCATGCTACCACAAATGACAATGGTCACAAAATAGTTGATTTTTGCTCTTCAAAAGACCTCATAATTAGCAGCACTTATTTCCCAAGAAAAAATATTTATAAACATACATGGTCTGCTCCAGATGGGAAAACAAAAAGTCAAATTGACCATGTCATCATAGACAAGAGGCACAAAACGTCAATTCGTAACATTAGAAGTTACAGAGGAGCCGATGGAGATACAGACCATTATTTAGTTGTTGCAACGTTCGCACTAAAGCTATCAGTAAAATGGAGGAGTAAGATACATACAGGAAAGAATAACAAACTTGACATAGAAAAAATTAGGAACTCAAAGGAGATAGATACATACCAAAGAGAGATATCTGAAAATCTCAGAAAATATAATCTTGCAGAACATGAATCGGATAACATAACATTGTGGTCAAAGACAAAAGAATCTCTAACAAAAGCTGCTGAGAGATTTCGAGGTAAGCACATTAAACAAAATAAAAATCATTGGTATAACTTGGAGTGCCAAGTTGCGATTAACAAGCGAAGTTTAGCTAGACAAAATATGATACTGAATCCTACACCAGAAAACATTAATGAATACTCAAAGCTTAGAACTGTAGCCAACAAAGTAATTAGACAACAGAAACGCTCAATGGAAAAAAAAGTTTTAGAAGATATCGAATTATATAAGAAAGAACCGAGACTGTTTTTCAAGAAGTGTAGGTCGGTTAAGGAAGGATTTAAAGCACGTATTAATTTCATCACAGACAAAAGTGGTAATATAATTTCAGAACCTAGCGAGATTGTAATCAAATTTCAAGAATTTTTCGAAGAACTCCTAAATAACAAAAATAACCGCATCGGAAGTAACAATAATGAAAAGTACGAAGAATTAGTGTATCATACAGCAGAACCTGAACTTCTAGCACCAAGTATCGAGGAGATTGAAATAATCATTAAATCACTAAAGAATAATAAATCTCCAGGGGATGATAACATAAATTCTGAACTACTAAAAATTGCAGGAAAAGATGTACTAATTAACCTACACCAAATTATAACGAATATATGGAACACCGAACAAATAGAGCAGGAATGGTCGTCATCAATTATTTGCCCAATTTTTAAGAAAGGGGACCCAACAAAAGTTGATAATTATCGAGGTATTTCGTTATTAGACACTGCGTATAAGGTGCTCTCAATAGCTATCTTACGAAGGATAGAAGCATTCGCTTTTGACATAGTAGGAAAATATCAATGCGGCTTCACAAAAGGAAGATCCACCAGTGACCATATCTTTACGCTCAGACAAACAATGGAAAAGTATTATGAGTTTGACAAAGACTTACACATGATATTTATAGATTTTAAACAAGCGTACGATAGCATCGACAGAGAACAACTATGGATAGCATTACAGAATTTTGGGTTGCCCAAAAAACTTGTAAATCTAGTTAAAAGCTGCAATTCTAATGCTACATGCAAAGTGCGTTTCTTGGGAAGGGAGTCAGGGGACTTCGAAGTCAAGTCTGGTTTAAGACAAGGGGATGCGCTATCCCCGATTCTATTCAATATAGCATTGGAAAGAATAGTGAGAGATATGAATGAAACCCGAGAAATGGATTTAAATGGTAAGGGAACATTGCTAGCATATGCTGACGACATTGTCATTCTTGGAGACTCTCAAGTCGAAGTAGAAGAAAGTACAAATAAATTAATTAAGTCTAGTAAAAGAATGGGCCTCAATATAAATGAGAGCAAGACAAAATATATGATCATGAGCAGGCGTCCAAGAATTTTACAGAATCTCTCCGTAGATGAATATACATTTGAGCAAGTAGAAGACTTTAAATACTTGGGGGTTAATTTGAATAATAGGAATGATATGCATAACGAAATAAGGTTGAGGCTGAATGCGGCAAATCGAGGATATTATGCAATGAGCAAAATATTCAGTTCTAAACTTCTCTCCAGAGAAACTAAGAGAAAGCTATATATTTCCTACTTACGGCCCATAGTAATGTATGGTTGTGAAACGTGGTCAACAACTAAAGGGGACGAGACAAAGCTACTAACATTTGAGCGAAAGGTTCTTAGAAGAATATATGATCCCATATATAATACGGAAACAGGTCAATATGAAAGGAGAACTAATGCAGATATTGAAAGAATCTTTAACGGACCAAATATCCAAAAATATCTTGTATCAAAAAGATTG